GAGGCTGAGGCAGTAGACTTGCTTGAGCCCAGGAGTTGGAGGTTGCTGTGAGCTGTGATGCCATGACACTCTACCCAGGGGGAAAGCTTGAGGCTCTGTCTCAAAAAAAAGAAATTACATTTTAAAAAAATACATTAAAAAAAATTACTGAGCCTGTGTAAACTCTTACAGTTGAAGATCTTCTGTCACCACCAGTGTGTCCCATTTCAGGAGTGGTCTGCTGAGTACATTTCTGATGCTGGGGTCTGTACAAACGTGAAAATTAATATTATCAGCATGTTATCAGAGTTTTCAGTTTTCAGCATTTTTTTTTACCATCCAGACAGATTTTGGGGGGGGGGGAATCTTTTGATTAAATCTTTTGATGAAAGTTTTGAGATTCTTTTTTTTTTTTTTTGAGAAAGAGCCTCAAGCTGTCCCTCTAGACAGAGTAGACAGGTAGAGTGCTGTGGCATCACAGCTCCCAGCAACCTCCAACTCCCGGGCTCAAGAGAGTCTCCTGCCTCAGCCTCCCAAGTAGCTGGGACCACAGATGCCTGCCACAACACCTGGCTATTTTTTTTTTTTTTTGGTTTCAGCCGTCATTGTTGTTTGGCGGTCCTGGGCTGGATTCGAACCAGCCACCTTAGGTGTATGTGGCTGGTGCCTTAGCCACTTGAGCCACAGGTGCCAAGCCAGTTCTGAGATTCTTAATCCATTTTCAGGCTGTATTAATGCAGCTATCAGAAAGTTTTTGGTTAAACCATCAGTGGTTTTAAAAATAATTATTTAATTTAAAGCTCCACTGTCATACTTTAAAGATCTTGAAAAAATAATACTTCATTTTATATGGAATCAGAAAAAACCTCAAATAGCCAAGACATTACTCAGAAAAAAACAAAGCAGGAGGAATCACACTACCAGACCTTGGACTATACTATAAATCGACAGTGATCAAAACAGCATGGTACTGGCACAAAAACAGAGGGATAGATGTGTGGAACAGAATAAAGAACCAAGAAATGGACCCAGCTACTTACTGGTATTTGATCTTTGACAGGCTAATTAAAAACATTGAGTGGGGAAAAGATTCCCTATTTAACAAATGGTGCTGAGTGGACTGGCTGGCGACCTATAGAAGACTGAAACTGGACCCACACCTTTCACCATTAACTAAGATAGACTCTGACTGGATTAAAGATTTAAACTTAATTATTATTTACTGTTAATTCTATGAAATGTTATCCTTGGGATTAGCATGAAATAATTTCTGAGTAGAGCCCTGAGTGGTGGTCATGGTGAGTTAGCGTGGCTTTGTCGCCTTATGGGAATGGTGCTGCCCGTCAGTGTCAGTAGGAGAACATCTTGGGTAGATAGTAATAGTCATTTCTAGTCATCAGGTGTCCAAGGTAACACTTATAGCTAAATATTGAAAAGGAATCGAGATGATCGGACTTAATGTCACATTTATTTCTCTCTCAAGAATTACAGAGCAGCTATTTCATGTAGTTTGATATTTTATCCTGCTTTTTTGTAGAGTGGAAGATGGTGACCAACAAGTAACAGTGAAGTCCTTCAGGTACATGGAATTGTTGAGATGGTGCTTGGTGGGTGGACAGAGTTGCATGTGCAGGCCTTTAGCTGAAGGTCCAAGTGGTGTCGGGATAGAGTGGGTTGGTGACCGTGAGGCTTGTCTCTCTCACTGCGCTGTGAGAAGCAGCGTAATCAGGCACTTGTTACCCTACTTTTCTAACTGCTGGAATAACGTGTTGCCTTTCCATGTCTCTTAGAACAGCTATTTATTAAAACTATTATTTTCTTTGCGGGCTAACAAAAACTGACTTATGATGTAGACAAATCAGAGTTCCTTACCAGGGGTATCTGATTATTAGAAATCTGTCATCACGAAATTCTTATTTGTCAATCATTTTAACATATTCTTTCAACAACACCACCACAATTATTTTTCTACATCTGACAACTTGGCCAGATGTAAGGTTTGCTTTTTTCCCATTTATTCTGATAAGACACTTTAAACACTGCCGTGGTTCAGAGTGGCATGAGTGAACAAAGAGTTAGGAGCCAGAGCTCTGATCAATGAATAAGCAGAGAACAAGCCTCTGGGTAAATATGCCCTTCCTTAATAGACTCCTTTAGAAATCTTTTTAGGTGCGGCTCCTTCAAGTAAAGTAACTTATTCACACACTGGTTATTTCACTTACCTCTGGGTTTCTGGGCTCGCCCCATCACCTTTCACCGTTCTTCTTAACCAGTGATTCTCAACCTTCCTAATGCCATGACCCTTTACTACAGTTCCTTACGTTGTGGTGACCCCCAACCATAAAATTATTTTCGTTGCTACTTCATAAGCATAATGTTGCTACTGTTGTGAATCGTAATGTAAATATCTGATAGGCAGGATGTATTTTCATTGTTACAAAGGGGTCAAGACCCACAGGTTGAGAACCGCTATTCTTAACAGTCTCAGTCCCACCCATCTCCCTCCAGATCCTGGGCTGTGGGAGAGAGCACCCCTCACTCCTTCCTTGACTGTCCATTCCTGGAGTCGGGCGTCTCTGTCCATGGCTACTGTCTGTGCCTACGGGTGATGCTGGTAGAAAGAAGAGGTGACCATTCTAGCAAGAGTAAAACTGCAGCATCCTTTTAATCATGCAACTTTAATTGCTCATGGATACACCAAAGTTTGAGTAGAGAACTCAATTTTGTGTAAATACACATGATGAATTTGAATCCATCCTGTTCTCCCCGAAGTACATACCTTAGTCCAGGAGTGCCCTTGCCAGGGTGGCTGGTTAGGGAGGGGAGTGTTAGCTCCCTGGGTCTCACACACACACATGCTCTTTAGCTGGAAAAAGGACATTTTCTTTCATCTAATTTAAAGTCTGTAAAAACAGATGAGGGCAAGTTTCCCATTTATCATTGTTTCCTATCAGATTGACCTCCTCAGCTCTTCTTCTGTAGAAATTCTGGAGCTGCCGTGATCTGAGCATCACAGGAGAGAGACACGTTTACAGCAAAGTGTGAGAAGTCCAACCACATAGTTCTCTAAATCTCAGATACACATTTTTCCTCTACGTTTTTTTTTTTCCCCTGGGGAAATGTCTTCAGTGTCAACTTCCTGTTAATTGACAGCATTTCTTCCCCTAGGGATGCATTAAATAATTAGTACATCTTACAATTGATGGCATCTTAGATTTGTTGAAATGTGGTAGTGGTAAAAAAAAAAAAAAAAAAAGGAACTGGTGTAACTTATAGAGGGGAGTGCTGAGTCGCACAGTCATCAGAGAAAGCTTCCCAGGGGAATATAGGCAGTCCATGAGTTTCAAGCACATCTGACTTACATGTAACCTGCTTTTAGGAACAGAGTTACAAACATCTGGCTGATGTATGACTCACACTTACAAACAGAGGCTAATACAGGTGGTGCCCATGTTACAAACACCTGGCTGACATATCACTCATACTAATGGAGGCTATTGCAGGCCGTGGGTAAATGTACCCGTTCCAGTTTACATGCAAATTCAATTTAAGAACCTATAGAAACTATCTCATTCGTAACCCAGGCATTGCCTATAACTGAGCTGGGTTTTGGAGAAAGAATAGGATTTTCCAAGAATGTATAAAGGAAGGACTTTCTGAGCCTAGCAAAGATCAAGGCATAGGGATGTGAGAGGACAGGACATGTGTGAGGATGGAGCTGTCGGGACATGGAGAGATGGAACTGGGACAAAGGCCCGAGCCAGGTCTCGGAAAGCTGTGGCCCGGGGTGAGGGAGTGTCACCATTCCTCGTGGAAATGCAGTGGAGCAGTTTTCTGCGATAGAATGAGGTGGTTTGACTTGTGTTAGAATGATAATTCTAGAAGTTGTAGGGTAGACTGTCAAAGGAAGACACCAGAAAGAGCATCAGCTTAAAAGGCTTTTGGGTGATGCAGTGGGGGGCCCAGTTTGAGGCAGGGACAGAGCAGGTGGGGAGGAGGAGAAGATGTATTTCAGAAATAGAAGAATTGGAATCTGCAGTTCTAAATTTCTAGAATTAGAAATTCAGCAGGGTTAATGTCAGCAAGGCAGGGATCAGTGAGGGATGGTGTAAGAGGTAACGATGTTTGCTGCCGTGGCGGCAGGGCAGGGCTTGGGGAGGTTGATTTTGCAGGTGGAGCCTGTACCCTTTCAGGGATCTTGCTGAGAAGGGAAGGCAGCTAGAGTTAGGGAAAGGGTAATTTTTCCAGAGAGAAGAAATGGGAACACATTGACAGACCCTAAGGAGCTGTGACCAGCATGAGGTTAAGATGTGATAACTGTTACGCATCACTGGGGAGGAACTAGCTTGGAACAGAAGGGCCCCCATCTCTTCCTCTAAGACTGGAGGGAAACCATCCTGGCTCTCAGGGACACGGCTTTGTTCTAGAAGGCTTCCGGAGACAGGCATGGTGGGACTGATGAAGGGCAGTGAGTTTTAGGAGTGCTGTTCCTGCTCCAATCACACTTTTGTCTTCCTTCGGTGGCACCTGCAGGGCCCAGGTTGAGAGGAAGAGCAATGCCTGCGTGCTGGGCCCAGCCCTGCTCCCATGAGCGAGTACCTCTGGGGGGCCTGGGGTCTGCTGAACATTATGCATAAAGGAGATGCTTTTTCCCTTCTAGAGAAGCTCACAGCCAAACCGAAAAGCGGAGGAGAGATAAAATGAATAACCTGATTGAAGAACTGTCTGCGATGATTCCCCAGTGCAATCCCGTGGCGCGTAAACTGGACAAACTCTCGGTCTTAAGAATGGCTGTTCAGCACTTGAAATCTTTAAAAGGTGAGTTCCAAGATGGCTCCACACTGGGGTCTGCAAAGTCTTCTCTGTCATCAGGGTCTCTCAGAGGTTTATTTTGTTGTTACCGGCTGGAGAGATTCTGTACAAATGTATCTTTCAGCTTTCTAGGCATTAGTCTTGAGACTGATCCATAGTCTGGGGAAGAATACTGAATCAGATATCAGAAAATTTGGTCCTAATGAAAGATTTATCTCAAGCTTACTATGTGACTGACCTTAGGAAGTCTTCACGTTTCTTCTTCTTTTCCCATGTGTCATACGAGGAGAATGTGACATACCCTTCAGACTTCTCAGTACTTTAGAAGTTCTGAAGCAGGGGTGTCTAACCCCCGGCCTGCGGGCTGCATGCAGCCCAATACCAAATCATAAACTTACTTAAAATATTACGAGATTTTTTTGTGTGCTTTTTTTTCTTTGGTGCAACTAACTTGTGCGGTCCTCAGACATGAACTTTGTGGACAATAACGTCCTGTCACAGTGTCCCATAAAAGAAACCAATGTTTGCTCTCCCTATTTGTACGCATGTGTGGCTTTGCTGGTGTGTGGCTTCCCGTGTGTGGTCTTTCAAGCACAGACAGTTGAATAGACACCGTCAGACGTTACAAGTGCTCATGGTGACTTGGCGAGGCAGCGGTTATCGATAACATTTCAACCTACCATTGCAACATTAGGTGTCTAATGTTATTTAAAAGTCAGGTAAGCATTCTGATTTGATTATTAAGGTACTTCCACACCTGGGTGGTGCCTCGCACATTATCTGCTGGGCTTTACCCTCAGTCCTCTACCCCCACCCTACATCAGCAGCTGAGACATGGAAGGGCCCAAATCTTGCTTTCTATTTTCCTGTCAATTAATTTTCATAATAAAAGGAAATATAGGCCCTTATCTAATATTCTTTTTAATCTCAGCATGGCTTCTATGACATCTCAGAAGAAAACAGAACCCCAAAAAAGAAAATTGTAGATGAAGGAAGATTGTTCACTAAAAAGTAGACAGTTGACTACTTTTTGATTGAGGCACACAGGAAGGCATTTCGCTTCATTTGTAGGAAATTTGTGTGAGTTTTCAAAGACTATCATTGGAAAAGGCATTCTATGCAAACACAGGCCGCCAAGTTTGATACGTAGGAAGGATTGTGTTAAAAGGACAAAATAGCAGAACTGAAAAACAGTTTCTTCTCAGCAAAAATATTTTTTTGAAGTTACAACTCAGATTCCAATGTAAAAGCAAAAAAGTCATATTGGATAGCAAAAAAATCAGAACCATTCACTGAGGGCGTGCTTATTAGGCAATGTGTGGGAAGCATGGCAGACATACTTTGCCCTAAAACAAGGGGGATATTTCTAAAATCGGTTTGTCTTACCAGACGATAGCCAGGTGAATTGATGAAATTGGAAAATCCAGTGAAAGAAGTTGGAAGAGTAAAGCTGCTAATTTTAAAGTTTATGCTGTGGTCACGGATGACAGCCCTGATGCTACAAATATGGCTCAACATGCCATTTTTATTAGAAGTATTAATGACGGATGTCGTGCACGGAAGAAATGGCTTTAGTACTATGAAAAGACAAAACTAAATCAAGAAATTTGAATGAAGCCGTAAAAAATATGTGTTGAAGTGATTTTCTTTGTCCATTGTTAATGTATCTGCCGTAGTTACTGATGGTGCCCTGGTGATGGAAGGTAAAAGAGAGGGACTTGCCAAATTAGTAGCGGACGATGCGGTTGGCCCCCAAAACTCATGTTTGATGAAGTATTGCGTAATAGGTCAAGACAATTTATGTGCAAAAGCATTAAAAATGGGTAGTGTCATGCAAATTATCATCAAAACTGAATTTCCTAAAGGCCAAGGAATTAAATCATCACTAGTTCCAGGAATTCCTTAAAAGTATTGGTGATGACTTTGTTGACATCTTTTACTTTTTGGAAGTAACCTGGCTGAGTCGAGGCCAAAGGTTGAAAAGATTTTATGAGTTGCTGTATGTTATCAAGTCATATATGGTATCAAAAACCAAATTTGTATCAGAACTTGATGATGAAAACTAGCTTGCAGATTTAGCATTTTTGGTGGATTTAACTACTCATTTAAATGAGTTAAACATGTGTCTTCAAAGTGAAAACCAACTTATCAGTACAATGTTTCAAATCATCACAGTGTTCCAAATGAAACTGAAATTATGGCAAGCTTAAATTAAGACAACCAGTTTCGTGCATTTTGACACGTTGGCTAAACATAGTCCTGGGAACAGCGAAAAATATGCAGCCTTGCTTTTCAATTTGATACAAGAACTTGAGAACAGATTTTAAGATTTCTGGGAAAATTGGGAGGCTAAGGTGGGAGGATCCCTTGAGCTCAGGAGTTCAAGACCAGCCTGAGTGAGACTGACACCTGCTCTCTACTAAAAGTAGAAAAAATTGGCCGGGCATTGTGGTGGGCACCTGTAGTCCCAGCTGCTTGGGAGGCTGAGGTAGGAGGATCACTTGAATTTGAGGTTGCTGTGAACTAGGCTGATGCCACAGCAAATGGAATGAGACTCTGTCTCCTCAAAATAAAAAAAATCATCTTTACATTATTTTGCTAGAAAATAATGAATATTTTAGTGCATTTATGATGCTGTTTTCAGTTGACATAAATATTTTACCTGCCCACTTTCAAATGGAATACATAGAGCTGCAACCTGTTATTTAACTTAGAGAAAAAGTTGATCATGTCTCTTTACTAGACTTTTATAAGTCCTATCTTCCCAGATGTAAATATTCTTTGCTTCACAACCATGCCTTAGTCATGTCATCGCTTTTTGGCAGTACCTACATTTTCAAGCAACTATTTCAATGAATGAAGCACATTAAGAGTGAAATTGGAACCAAAATGTCTGATGAGGACCTTGAGAACTCACTGAGTATCACAGCTACTTCCATGGAACCAGATATTAATACATTAGCTCTCAAATACATGTCAGATATCCCACTAGTTTTATGTTGTCCTGTTTTGTTTTACTTTTATAATAAAAAAATCAAAAACCTAATGATGTTTTATTACTAGATATGTACATTTTATATATTTGTGATCACAAACTTGGGAACTGTTCGTTGATTTTAAAAGACTCTTAGAATGGGCCACTGCAAAATTAGGATTATTATGTGAGAACATTTTTGCTTCTCTGTAGTGGTGGGTATTACAACAATTATACATGAATTTTTTTTTCTCACTAGCTTTCATTAGTGTTTGTGCATGTAACATGTGGCTTAAGACAACTCTTATTTTTATTTATTTATTTATTTATTTATTTATTTTGTAGAGACAGAGTCTTACTTTATCACCCTCAGTAGAGTGCAGTGGCATCACACAGCTCACAGCAACCTCCAATTCCTGGGCTTAGGCGATTCTCTTGCCTTAGCCTCCTGAGTAGCTCGGACCACAGGTGCCCACCACAACGCCTGGCTATTTTTTTTGCTGCAGTTTGGCTGGGGCTGGGTTTGAACCCGCCACCCTCAGTATACGGGGCCAGCGCCCTACTGACTGAGCCACAGGCATCACTCCACAACTCTTCTTTTAATGTGGTCCAGAGAAGCCAAAGGTTGGACACCCCTGTTCTAAAGCACAGTGTTATTATAATTTTCAGTTATTGGAAGATTTCTATTCTTTGTAAAACAAAACAAAACTACCTAATTTCAGCAGTTTCTCTTAAAACTTCATTTAGATTCATGATTAGTGCCTTAAAATGCATTACACCTTTACTGTTCTAAGGAATCTTCCATGTGTGAGACATTTGGGTAAGGGGGGGGGTCCGTGCCCTGCCTCTAGGTGTGTGCATGATCATTTCTGATTTCAGCAGTTCCCCGACCTGAGCTTGAATTTTAAATGGAAGTGTAATAAATGTGTATGGGTGTAGGGGGAGTAGAAATCTCATCTGCTTTGAAGGGTCTGAGTATGGTGGCTCACACCTATTATCCTTGCACTTTGGGAGGCCAAGGTGAGATGATAGCTTTATGCCAGGAGTTTAAGACCAGCCTGAGAAAGAATAAGACAAAAACAAGAAAAATCGGCCAGGTGTGGTGCCGCATGCCTGTAGTCCCAGTTACTCCAGAGGCTGAGGCAGGAGGATTGCTTGAGCCCAGGAGCTTGAGGCTTCAGTGAGTGATCAGGATGCTACTGTGCTACAGCCTGGGCAAGAGGGCAAGACCCTGCCTCAAAGAAAGAAAAAGTGAAAGAAAAACTGAAGTTACATCTGGTTTTGGTGTAGTCCCAGGCTACCTTGGGGGACAGTACTGGAAGTAGAATTGAGTTTTCAATTCATTGACGTTTGTGATGTACATTTATTTGTTTTGAAAAGATAAGAGTGGCAGAGTAGCAGGCCCAGGACCCCAGTGGAAATTCTGGAAATTAAAATTTGTAAAGACCTGAAAGATTACAGTGGAGCTTGCTTAGAAGATATAAAAAGGGAATGAGCAAAGGATGCCCACGAGTGTCAGTTCAGATCTCTAACAGCACATGCCAGAAAAAGGAGGCTGTTTCAGGGCAGTGGAAATTACATGAGCATAACACAGGGACTCTGCCATGAGGAGTCAAGGTGCTTGCAGGAGAGCGGCGGTAACCCGGACTCCTGGAGCTTGCTCTTGGGGGTACGAAAGGAGATCTTATTTTCATAACAGTCTGTTGTGAAACAGCTTCTCTTTTACCCACAACTGGAGCTTGCATAAATTGTATGCAATATTTTCCTTAAAGCCTTCAGCAGTGAAAATCTGCAGGCTCGAGGTCATTGGATTGCAGCCCTAAGATTACCCAAGTGCTTTCACATTAGCAGTGTCCTGGTTGAGGGGTGGGAAGGGAGGACCTACAGGAAAAGCTATAAGTCAGTCAGTTAGTTCAACAAATATCTACTGACATCAGGTACGTCTTGTCCTATGCTGGGGATGTTGAGATGAATGAGGCAAGGTCTCTGCCCCCTTGTGAGGAACACAGGCCTAGGAAAAACTTATTGGAACCTGATGTGACAATTGTCACAGCAGAGGTGTGAGTGAGGTGAAGCTCAGCGGGGAGTCAGCACTGTCCAGCCCCGAGAGGACTCCCTGCAACTGTGTATAGATTTCACCATCGCCCTTCTGAGCAGACGTAGGGCAATCAAGTGCCCATCCACACAGTGTCTTAGCTGATTTACACTGAGTTTCCCCAGCTTGCTTCTGCAGTGTGTGCTCCCCCCACCCTTGCTTTAGGCCTGACCTGGAAATTTCTCTGCCTTGCTCAAAATAAGCTTACCCTGGCAAGCACTCAAGAGGCCCTGTCTTTCGTTCCTTCATCAGCTTCCTACCAGGCTGCTGTGTAGCAGTAATAATACCAAGAAGTTATTTCGAAGACTTCTTTGAGGCCTAGAATAGAGTCCAAGAGAGGAGATTTTCTTTTGCCTATGGCCAGGCTCTTAGGGAGTGCTATGAGTCTGAGAAAACTGTCAAATCATAGTAGGAGGTGTTTTTGATTTTCTGGTGCCCCCCTGCCCAACCTCACCTTTCTACCACCACCACCCTTAAGTTTGGGCTGCAGATCCTTTCCAGGGCCAGTTTGTGGTTAAATGTGTCAGAATGTTTCCCCACCTTTCTCTTGCAAGAGCAATTTTTCTTGCAGTCCCCAGAAGAGGGGGCACGGGTTTGGGAAGTTGGGGGATAGGAAGGAGAGAGAGTTGATTTGCCTCTGAATTGTTCCCCGGGTACTGTCCCCTAGGACACACCCATCCCTATGAATGTCTCCTCTGCTTGGCCCAGTTGGTGGATACCCCCGTGAAAATGTGGTCTTGGTGCTTCACTTTTACCCCTCTTGGGTCAAACTTTTGCTGTGGTTATGGCCTGACAATTCCTTATCATTTCGCCATCTTTTCAGTTGCTTTAGACTGGGACTTTCATTGTAATAAAACTTTGTGCTAAGGGCTTAAAGTGAGTTATTTCATTTATATTTTATGCATTTTTGTGTATATCAGAACGGTAGTCTCCGTATGATTGTTAAAGGGGTTATCTTGCTGGAAAATCCCCCAAATCCATAAAATTTATTTAGAAGTCCAGAATTTCCCCATTCAGGGTAGTTTATATGGTTGAATTTAATAAGCTGAGAAATTATCAAAGTAACTGCAGTTTTCCCCTCTTACCCAAGAGGCACAGATACGTTCCAAGATCCCAGTGGATGCCTGAAAGCACAGGTAGCCCTGAGCCCTCTATATACTACATTTTTTCCTGTATATACGTACCTATGATAAAGTTTAGTTTATAAATTAGCCAAAGCAAGAGATTAACATTAGCTAAGAATAAAGTTAGATTAAAGAACAAGGCCTGTAGCTCAGCAGCTAGGGCACCAGCCACATATACTGGAGGTGGCAGGTTCGAATCCAACCCGGGCCTGCCAAACAACAACAACTACAACCAAAAAATAGCTGGGCATTGTGGCGGGCACCTGTAGTCCCAGCGACTTGGGAGGCTGAGGTAAGAGGATCACTTAAACCCAAGAGTTTGAGGTTGCTGTGAGCTGTGGAGTGGGCGACATAGTGAGACTCTGTCTCAGAAAAAAAACAAAGAAAAACAAGAATAAAGAACACTTTTAACAGTATACTTGATGAAAGTCATGCGAACGTGGGCTTTCTCAAAATATCTTACTGTGCTTTGCTCACCTATTTTCAGACTGGGGCTGGCCATGGGCAACTGAAGCCACAGAGAAGTGGGGACCACTGTATATGGGCTCTTGAATGTTGTTGCTGATATCTTTTATTATAATGCTTTCTTTTTAGATATAGCTCTTACCCTCAACATGAGTTCTAAGAATTCATAATCTAAGAAATTTTAATCTAATAATAATGAAGAAAGAAAACAATTACAGAAGACTCTTAGAATGTGCTAAGAGAGAGAGGATACCATTGCCCTCATCATCTTCATTGTCAGCAATGGCAGCAACAGTATTACTAAGCACTGACCACATCCCTTTCTCTACCATATACCACTCTCGGTAACTTTTGACTTGTTTCTTTTTAGGTATGACTGATTCTTATGTAGGAGATAATTATAGACCTTCATTTATTCAGGATAATGAGCTCAGACACTTAATCCTTAAAGTAAGTAAAGATATGTTTGTCTATGTTATATACACGCTTTCATTTTTTTTTTAATAGGAGACAGATTTTTTTTTCAATTTGCTCCCTGTTTTTCAGGACTTTATCTTATACCATATTTTCTTTGCTGTAGAAATTTAAAATGTAAATAGAGCTAATGAACATTGCGAAAAGGATGGTGGGTGGTGCCTGTGACTCAGTGCGTAGGGCGCCAGACCCATATATTGAGGGTAGCAGGTTCAAACCCAGCCCCACCAAACTGCAAAAAAAAAAAAAAAAAAAAGAGAGAGAGAGAGAAAAGGATGGGCACTTTCGAAAATGTGGAGCAAAGCTTCTCTTAGTGCTTAGCTCTCTGTAATGCCCTGTCTCTCACACCACATGATTTATTCCCTTCTTACTACCTCCTTCAAAGCCATCTACCTGGCGTCCTATGCCTTCTGGATTCTGGTCTCTGCAGAAGCCAGCCACTGCTTACTTAATGAGTTGTTAGGGAATGCTTTGACATGTCTGTCCCTATCACTTCATACGTGTGGCCTTTCAGATTCTCTAGTTTAGAGATTTATTTGACATGGAAAATACAATCTGGCTGTTCGGTGCCAGCCACATTCACCAAGGCTAGCGGGTTTGAATCCAGCCCAGGCCAGCTGAGCAGCAGTGACAACTGCAACAGAAAAATAGCTAGGTGTCGTGGTGGGCACCTGTAGTCCCAGCTACTCGGGAGGCTGAGGCAAGAGAATCACTTAAGCCCGAGAGTTTGAGGTTGCTGTGAGCTGTGACACTACAGCACTCTACTAAGAGCAACATAATGAGACTCTGCCTCAAAAAAAACAAAAAAGATCATGTAATTGATCTCATTTTGATAAATATGGCTTATCCTGCCACCAGGAGGTGATAAGTGTCTTGATTGCCTGGTGTGTGATGTACTGGGCTTTAAGCCATAGCCTGATTAAATAGAAAGATTCTTCACATAGATCTTTGTTCATTTTTCTTTTAATTTTTTAAAACTCTTTTATTTGAACAGCTTAATTTAAATATAGTATTCCTGGCAGGAATATAAAGGATATTTTGCAGATTTAAATAAAAAGGATTTTTAAAGATAGCAAAATACACGGCATACTTTTAAAGCTATTTCACCAATCTAAGTGCTTACTGTAGTCATTACTCCATATGACCTTGGTGCTGCCATCATAAAACATCTACCTAATTCCCTTCATGTTTCCTGTTAGTAAAAATGGAGTCAAGGAAATGTGAGTTGGAGTGCCAGACCCATTCTGTGTGTCCATGTGTGTCTACTTGCACATGGAGTGCTGCTCTGGGGATTGCTAGGTAGACCTTATGGGAGTAACTGATACATTAGCATTGTAAAAATTTTGTTTAGAATGAGCGGTACCTTATCCTTATCCCGAAGATGTACAGGAAGTAGTTTTCAGCACTTCCTGCTCTTAACCCGCACATTCCTTCCATCTCAGCATGTCCATGGGCAATATAGTTATCCATACAGTTGCTATATTTACAAAGTTTCTTGTGCAGGGTGGTAGAATTTGGCAAAGGTAATTTTCATGGCAACATTAGAAAATAGCTCAACTAGATATTCCATGGCTAAACTTCCCATGTCAAAAACATTAGTTTATACTGTGACTGAATTTGATGTTCTATATAAATCTTAAGAAAATTTCTTAAAATTAATTTTACTAGCTCTCAACCACGTTATTACTTTTGCCACAATAACTTCCTCGAATCTAAATGTGTGTACGTGTGTGTGAGAGAGTGAGACAGAAGATATTTTAAAGTGTTCACTTTTCTTTTTTTAAATCCCAGACTGCAGAAGGCTTCCTATTTGTGGTTGGATGTGAAAGAGGAAAAATACTCTTCGTTTCTAAGTCAGTCTCCAAAACACTTCATTATGATCAGGTATCGGAAACTGAGGCTGTTTTACACGCGGTGTGTAATTTTTGGAACAAACATATATGTTGAAACTGGTTTTCTGAACTTTTCCTGTGGGGACGCTGCATTAGGTTCTGCTGAGTTCAAATTCTGAGAGAGATGGGCCGATGTATGGAAAGAGCATGGATTCTTATCCCTGACATTAGTGTTCACTTCCTGAGCTTCAGCAAGTTATTTAATTTTACTGGGCCTCATCTT